TTCGGTTGTGGTACTGATACGCAGCTGATTGGTAAAACTCCATTGGTTTATTTGAACAATGTTGTGGATGGATGTGTTGGCCGTATTGCAGCCAAGCTGGAACTGATGGAGCCATGTTCTAGTGTCAAGGATAGGTATTGGTTGAATTTTAGTGGGCGATTATTTTCTTCAACATCTAAGAGTGCTCATATGTTACTAGAACGGCACTGATATGCTCTTTAATGCTTTTTTATTCTGCAGGATTGGATATAGTATGATTGCAGATGCTGAAGAGAAGGGAATCATTAAACCTGGGGAGGTTAGTTATTCACGCCTGGTGTTTTTAGCATTAGACGTGCATGTAGTCATTGAGATGTAGTCTGAATTGTCTTACCACTAGAAACTCAGATCTTTGCTGGAATGGCTTTGGTATAGGAAGAGCTCGAGTTTTGTGATTTTTCTGATCATAGAGAGAAAACCTGACCTTTTTTCTTTTTGTTTCAATTTCTTGTTGAAGAGTGTACTCATTGAACCTACAAGTGGTAACACCGGGATAGGGTTAGCGTTTATGGCAGCAGCTAAGGGCTACAAGCTTATCATCACTATGCCTGCTTCGATGAGTCTTGAGAGGAGAATAATCCTCCTTGCCTTTGGTGCTCAATTGATTCTCACTGATCCTGCTAAGGGTATGAAAGGTGCTGTTCAGAAGGCGGAGGAAATAAAGGCCAAGACACCTAATTCCTACATTCTTCAGCAATTTGAGAACCCTGCCAACCCAAAGGTATTGTTCTCATTTGTCGAGCTTATTGGTAATTGGTGGTTTCTTCTGTTAAACTTTTTTCTATTATACTGAGTGTAGATACATTATGAGACCACTGGACCTGAGATCTGGAAAGGCTCCAATGGCAAAGTTGACGCACTTGTTTCTGGAATTGGTACTGGTGGTACAATAACAGGAGCTGGAAAATTCCTCAAGGAGCAGAATCCTAATATAAAGGTGAGCAAGATATGTCAGCTTAGAATGGATAATGAGTTGAGCCTCATTGTTCCTTTTATTTTTGAATCTTGCAATCTGATCTGCATTCTTTTATCTACTTTGCCTAACAGCTATATGGGATAGAGCCAGTTGAAAGTCCTGTTTTATCTGGAGGAAAGCCTGGTGAGCAACACAGTTCTTTCACTTGCATCTGTTATGGTCTGAACTGTTGAACCTCTAGTGCTTGATAAAGGCAGGAGATTAGTAGTTGGGAATGCAATAATGTGATAGTTCACTTAATTAAAGTATTTATTCGCAATTTTTTTCCTTTTTTGTTATGGGGGGTTTGGGGGCTTTTTGGGTTTTTTTTGGGGGGGGGGGGGGGGGGGGAGGAAGAAGGGGGAGGAGTTTGAATTATCAGCAGGGGAGGGGCAGACAGATGTTCAAGGATATCGCTTCCACGAAAGACTAGCTTCTTTTTACCTTTCTTGTTCTAATGTCTTGCTTCTTTGGTGTTTATTTGTGCATGAAAAGAGGTTCTTGATGGATAACAACTGAAAAGATTTCTCGTTCTGATATCTTGCTCCTTGTTTAATAAGCTTAAGAGTAGTCAGGTTTATGTCATCGTTCTGGCCTACTATTTCATCTCATCTGATGCAAGAATTGTTCATGATGCTAGGTCCTCATAAGATCCAGGGCATTGGTGCTGGATTTGTTCCCGGTGTCTTGGATGTTGGCTTAGTAGATGAAGTAATTCAAGTAGGTTTTTTCTGTTTGATTTCATAACCTTATTCTTTTATCATCAATACTCTGTTTGTTACATTTATCTTGGCCTGAATATCTATGACTCTCCAGATTTCAAGTGATGAATCCATTGAAATGGCAAAGCTTCTTGCTGTGAAAGAAGGATTACTTGTAAGTTCAACTCTTAGGCTTTCTGCATTCTGTAAAAATTTGGTTCCCTAAGTTCTCTTCTCTTTTTTGGCTTATGTTTGCCTATCTTGTTGCAAGTTTGTGTTTTATTTTCAGTGGTATCCTAACCCAGAAGCACTTTTTGTAGGCGGGAATATCATCTGGCGCTGCTGCTGCTGCTGCAATCAGGCTCGCAAAGCGTCCAGAAAATGCTGGGAAACTCTTTGTTGTAAGTCTTTTACTTTTTTGCCTGATCCTAGCGTAGCTAATCACAAGCAACTTTTACAAGATTTTGAGCTCCTGCCAATCAAAATTGTACACAGAAAACAAATTTGTTGGTGCTCCGGAGAAAAATATGGTGGTCTGTGATATTTTTAGAGCATGGGACCTTGAGGAATTACATGCTTATGTGGATGGATAGTGCCTCTGCCTAGTTGTAATGTAGCTTTTGCCCTAAGAAGTCGCTGTCTATTGAAGTCAACAAGTGAATTATAATACATGACCCAGTTGTTTCAACTCCTATCTATCCTAAAGGAGTTGAGAAGGATAAAATGTAGAGCAAAATTAACCTGTAGGGCTAGGACAAGTATTGCAGTCCTAAGTTATGAACCAATAATGATGCAGTTGTGTTACGTGATGCACTTAGCAAGAAACGTATTATGTTTTCAAAGGCTTTTTCTGTTATGAATGGTCTTGGCAATGATTATAGCCGGCAATCATTTTGATCTTCTATTAAATCAAAGAGTTGTATTCACCAGAAATCTATCAGTTCTATAGTGCATGGAAATGCAGTCTTTTTGAAGTTACAACGACAAACCAAACCAGAATACCCACTGTGTTTTCGGTTTCAGAGGTTGGTCAAGCAACTGCTTGTGTGCCCTGTAACTAGTATTCAAAATGAGTGACTTCAAATGAAATTAAACAAAGTATTATACAATGTACTGTGCTTGGTGTAAGGAAGTGTTGGACAAATGGTTATGAACTAGTCGAAAAATCTTCCTTGCACGTACCAGAACTACAATTTGCTACTAACCATGACCCTGCTACAACTTTTCTGCAGGTGGTGTTCCCCAGCTTCGGTGAACGATACTTGTCTTCTGTGCTATTTGAGTCAGTCAGAAAGGAGGCTGAGAGCCAGACTTTTGAGCCCTGAGCCAATTCCTAGATCCAGATCACACACAGTGTTTGCCGCATGGATTTGGAAGAAAACAAAGTATTTGGAAGAGGATACAGTGTGTTTCCTTGTTAATTTAAATAAATTAAATGCCTCTGTTTTCCGAATACCAGATACTGCACTGCAGCCTTGCATATTGGTGACTCTGTCACTTTGCTGTATGATTTTGGACTAGAGTAAGAGCATGGCACCGTTCAAAGATGATAGAAAAACATATTCGGTGGTGTTCTTTTGACAAAATTGTGCTTGCATTATTTTGATGGCTTTTCGGCAGTTTTCTTCTGTGCCAATAGTACTCCTGCATCTGAAGCTCTGTTCAAGTAGGAGACGTGAACATCCATCTGTTGGTTCGCATCATTCTCCAATGCACTTTTAAGATCGTTCTTATATCTTAACAATTTTAACTCGTGTTTCTCCAATTACGCCCAGCATTTTGTTAAAACGATAGTGCATTATCCCATTAGCGCAGATTTTACAAATAAAATACCAGTTGCAGGATGTCAAATATCAAATCCTTAAGAGTAAAGACTAATTGATTTACAATCTTTGCAAAGTGTGATAGAATGTCAATACCACATGATTTTTTTTTTTTTGCTCTTTCCTCTTACTTCCCTTGCTATTTTCATTGACACCTGAGCGTTGAGTGCAAGTCTAAATGGTCAAGAACAAGTATGTTTAATTCACCATTTATGCATTAATGTTTGGCCCCCTTGCTCTTATTTTCTAGGGTTGATTACAATAGGACATGATCCAAAGTCTGATCAAATGATAGGATGAATACAAGCATTTGAACATCTTCATGTGCTGGGGAAAAAAAACCAGTACTTGAACATCTTCAAGATTTTACAAAATCGTAATATTTCTTCGGATGTCCTTTAGTTTTTTTCCCCTTCCAGGCTAATCCGCTTTATACCTCAAACTTTTATTTTCGACATTTTGCAGCGCAAAGTTACCAAATGTTGCCTGCCACATTACACCTGAGTTTTTGTTTTAGATATATTCCATGCCAATACTACTCCTTGCGTACGAGCTCAATGAAATCAATTAATGATGCTCGAATTTTTTTTTTTTTTTTAATGTATTGTATGAAGAATGTTTGATTCCGTTCGAATATTATTACAACTATACATTGTTGTCCGAATTTGTTTAGTTAACTTTGTCAACGCTCAATTCAAACACCTTTATAAAAGTTAATGAATCAAAATTGAACAACAATCTATAATATTCAAATGAACTCAAATGCTCTTTCAAGAGGTGAATTCTAGTCGGATGAGCTGAGTCACGAATGCACGAGCTCACCTGCCAAATGAAGAGTAGACGGGGTCTTGTATCCCGATCTCATTCCAATGCTTAAGTTAGATACAATTTGAGAGTTAAATTACATACCTCATTTGGGAGTATTAGATGGGTATTTTTATAACATTTGTGCCTATCGATGGAATGATAAGGTCTGCCCCTGCCTGACATCATGAGGCAGTCTAGGGCAGTTGTGTCAGGTATAAGTCTGACCAATAGAGTAGTTGGTAGTCAAGTCACTCCATCAATCACAAATCACGCAAATAATCGAAGTATTGGTAGGCTTGGGCAAGAAAGTAGATGAGGTGGAACCCCTCTTCAGAGTAACCTCGTCGATTACCTTGTCTGGGGATGTCCGAGATGAGGTATTTGTTGCCGACGGGAAGTGAACGGACTAATAAAGACCGAGCAGGCCGAGGTATCCACACTCTCCATATAGTACGCAAGCAAAATTTCAACATTAAGTATTTGGTTCGCTAGGATTTGTGTAATCTCATAAAATTACGTGCATGACAAAGGTAATTTGATATGAACCGATAATATTGAGTTAATCAGAGGTGTAATGTATCAATAATAAAAAGTTACGTGTAAAGTGAGAGGTTAAGTAACTTTAGGGGTACAAAATGAGATTGAATACCAAAGAGGGGGCAAAGTTGACTGAGACCAAATATAGACGAAGCCCAGGAAATTACGTACTTCTGATTCTGAAGCTCAGAGCCCTTTCTAGTCTCTACAGCTGCGCTCCTTCGCCGGGCCACCCCTCCCGCCACCACCACCACCCCCTCCCAAGCAACTGCCGCAACAAGAACCTCCCCCTTCATCCCGTTATTAACTCTCCTGCATCCAATTCGCATATTAGTTCAACAAAGTGAGTAAGCTCCTAATATTCTTTCTTGTTTCGTTCTTCCTGTGTGTATCAATTTGTTAGATTAAACTTTGGCTGTAAGCTTTTTTTTTTCATTTATATTTATTGGATTTTGGGAAAATTCGGAAACCATTTATGGTCGTACATGTAGTTGAACTTAATCAATTGCGGCCTGTTCTTGTTTCTCCAACTTCTGGGGTTATCGGTAAATGGGATCGGATGTTTACTTAAATTTTAAGACCTACCATTGCCTTCTGTCTTAGTGGGATTTGTCAAAATTGATACTTTCCTAGGTAGGAATTGAAGTTTTGAGGAGGTGCACCCTGAATTGGGAGTCTCCAATTTTTTTTAGGTTTATATTGGATTCTGATAGGTATTTAGGGGTTGTGAGCTTCATAAGTGCCCCTTAGCCTAGACAGAGAGGAATCACGATGAATTATTCCTGGTGTTTCTTAGGCTTTTGGACAGCATTTCTAATGCTAGTTTTTTGGGTTTGAGGGCATACTGTATAAAATTTGGTGCAGAGATATTGAGTAGTAAAAACAAAAATTATCGTCTGAAAAGCTTTCCTCTATATATGCTGATTTTCCTGTTGTAATTAAGAGAGTAGGCAGAGATTTAAAAGAACTGGCTGTGCTTTAGGCAGGTTTCCTTTCCTGGACAGGTTATACATGGCTTTTCAACTGGCACAATGGATTTTCTTTTCTCAATTGGTTGATTTGTGGTTTGGCAATGCTTGTTGAAGTATATATTATTACTCTGGTATTTAAAATTTGCCAAGGCAGGTGCAGGGTTAGTAAAATCTTCTGGAATGGCACATAGATTATGGATAATTAGTCTGGTACCTTCATTCGGTCTTAGATAGGGAGGTAGTCATTGACTGCCAACCTGTGCCCAGGGAAGCAGTACCAAACACCAAGGACATTAAATCCTTGCGTAGCTGGCAATTTGTTTCAAACATGATTTGGACTCAATTTTGATTCTCTTCATGTCTTTTATCAGGAAGAAACCACGGGACCAGGGGTTTAACATGGAGTGTTAACATCCTTCTGATCTTAATTCTTTGTTTCAGATACTTAAGCACCATGGCTCTCATATCAAAACAGCTGCTGTTGCTATTGCATAATAAAGCTATTTACAAAACCACCATGAACTCTTGAAAACTTATTCCTCAAAAACAATGAATTCCACAACTGAAAAATTTAATGAACTTCGAAGGAACGAGGAGTTGAGCATCAGTTAAATATTTCAAAGATACGAATGATGTCAATGGTCTGCAGATCGTGCCATATTAACCTTCATATTCCTTGAAACTGTTAGGAGAAATAAATGGTAAAAGTGGCCAATGTTTTTATTTATGGGCTTGCTGTCGTCGGTGCCCATTGTGCAAGACTGTTATGCAATGAAGTTGCGTAGGCTTACGAGATGCAGAAACTTCATTTAATGAAAGCATGAGCATGGTTAATTTGGATAACTAGAGGATTATGTTTTCGCGTTAAGCAACCACATCTGCCTTATGATGAAGATTTAGCATACTGCAAATTCACAATTTGTTAATGCTTTTGTTATTTTTCTTCAGGATCATGGCTGGCAGAGCCGAAGCAGAACCAGTGAATGAACAAGCTGTTGCGAATGTTTATGGTTCAATGAGGGCTGAAATGAACCAAATTTACTCGAAAATCACAGAATTAGAGATGGAAGTTAGTGAGCACTCGTTGGTAATCAATGCAATACAACCACTTGATCCATCAAGGCGGTGTTACCGAATGATTGGTGGCGTGCTTGTGGAGAGAACAGTTAAAGAGGTCCTACCAGCTGTTCAACGGAATAAGGAAGGCCTTCTGGAGGTAATTGCTCGGCTTAATGAGGCCCTCGAAAAGAAGAAAAAGGAAATTGCTGATTTTGAGGCTAAATACAAAATCAGAATTCGTAAAGCAGATGAAATGAAAGATGAAGGTGGCAAAAAGGAAGGCTCAGCACAGGGAGTTCTTGTCGGTCCTGCTGGTGGAGATGAATAGGAAACGTGTGTCTGTTTGATGCCCTTTTATCTGTATCATCTCTAATTTGCTGCATCATATCCCAAGTCTTTAACATCTTAATCTAGCTCCTTTTTGTTGCATTTACTGAATTAAACTGTACTTGCCCAAGTTTTATGAAGGATACTGAGCAATAGGCTTTTCCCCTGCATTTGTTTTTCGTTTAGTGGTTCGACTTCCAAAAATGAATGATGTCGTGAACAACTGCAGGGAGCCCTCAGATCACTTTCATCTAACAACAGTTAACTGAACTTTCCTAAACTAACAATGGCAGGGTATGAACTCTCTATGTTGTTTCCGAGAAGTGATTACATGGGGAACTGGTAGTTCTTTTAGCAGCGTAAGTTACCCCCCCAACTGCCTTGGTTAAACCCCAAAAGATGGATCTTGTGTTGCTCTTGGGTTTTTTGTCCCTGTCATCTTATTCTACCGTGACCAGTAATTTGCCCTATTCCCCGAGTTCCAACTTGTAACACGATTCCAATTCAAGGAGCTTAAAATGTGTAAATAGATCTACACTCCAAAGAAGAGAAATCGTAGGAGTCAGACATTTAACAGTTACAAATAAACATGATGAGTGAGGCGAACGCCCTTGAACAAATTTAGAATGCTTCAATTACAAGTCTGAGGTTGTAAAGGATTCACATTAAAAATGAGCAAACAATTCAATTTAAAAAGGAAAGATAAGAGCCAAAGCAAAGGCAAAAACTCAGCGTATTAGGGAAAAAAACGCAAAAATAAAAGGCAGCCCCAGGATAACAAGCTAGACGCTCTCCCACTATAGACCGCAACTCCATAACCATACCCTGTTCCTTATCCTTCCATCTTCATCAACTAAAGAAATCTTGGATGCCTCTTCCAGCAAAAACCCGATCAGAAAGTTCAGCCAAAATGGCATTAACAGTGAGCAAAACGACGCTGGAACCAGCAATAACTGCCAGAACAACCCCAGTAGTTCCCAAAACTTTATTAAAAGCAGGCCACTCAATTTCCTTCACTTCCTCGGCCACCCCACTCCATAAAAAATCTTGCTCCTTCTCAGCCCTCTCCTGCATCGCCTTCTTGATTTCAGCACCCAACTGGGATACCTCATCACCCTCACTAGAATTCCCATCTGGGGTGACTCTATCACCAAATTCCGGTTTATTTCCTGGGCTTTTTGTTTCAGCTTCAGAAGTACTAGTATTGTTCGTACTTTCTTGGGTTGCTTTGAAAATTATGGGGCGTGGTTTTCTGGCTGTGGTGACTAGTGGGATGTGGTTTATCAACTTTGTGAAAGTGGGTTGGGATTTGATTGGTAAAGTAATCTTTGAGGGGTGGAGTTTTGGTGAAATAATTGGTACGGAAGAAGAGGAGGGGGATGGGGAGATTTGTGAGAGGGAAAGTGCCATTTCTGAGAAACAGAGGAAATTTTTAGCTTTTACAGTAATTATAGACAAAAAAAAAAAAAATAGTAATTCAGTAGCCTTTAGTTTAACAGCTTTGCTTTGTGCGAGTTTCGGGCCTTTGGCACTTTCAAACTGCAAGTTGGGTTCTTTAGGGACTTCAAAGTTTAGGCTGTGGCAGCTTTGTTTCAGTCATTTGGGCCAAATCCAAGTCCTCTTTTTGATCTCCTGACCCAAAGAAACAGAAGTAAAGAATATGTTTTTTTTTTGTCTCATTTTCTATTAGAATAAATTTTATATATAATGACGCTATATATATACTATCACGATTAATTTGAAAAAGTTTTCTTTGTACTACAAAAACTTTATTAAGGTTCTGTTTGATAATCTAATTCAGCACTTAAATTTAATGGAATTAGAACTTAACATATTCGGACGATTTGATAACCAAAAATTAAACATCTGAATTAATTAAGTAGCACTGAATTTTCTAGGCAAAATTTGCTTCCAAAATTAAGTGATAAACTATTCATTTATCACTGAATATGATAAACACTCAAATGTATTAGATTTAACACTTAAACAATTCAATAATTTAATAGATTCAAACTTCATATTTCAAGTTTCAAATTTTAATTTTATCAAACGCACCCTAAGTCAATGAGCAAATGTGGTGAGATTTGAGCATTCGTCTTATTCCTTTATTTTGAGAACAATATTTTAGAAGTTGTTTTCGTTGACAAAAATTAAAGTTTCAAATGGAACAAGGGAGAAAGGACACAAAGTTAGGGGTACTTTTGTAATTGTGCTTACACCAATAGAACAAAAATAGCACTTCTAGACTACAATCTTGCCATCTCTCCAGACTTAAAATGCCCTAACACTAATACCAACTTTTTTAGGTCGTAGCAATCATAATATTAGTACTTGAACCGAAAAAGGTACCTTAGTAGTAATTGTTTTGAGTCTTTCTTGTTTAATATGGACACACAGTTAGGAACTACCTCACGATCTTTCGATGTGGGATGGTGTCCCATCCCCCCCGAGCACACCCTCGCCAAATATATGGTCTTTTTCTTTCCATCGACAGAAGAAATAAACACACACAGTTAGGTTAGAAACACTCAGAGTCAACGCCAAATCGAACCCTAAAGTCAGTCTAAGGGGGACCCACAAACCAACACCATCCAGCCAATTGGTGACAGGAGATGCGGCTGAGGACCTTAAACCCAGAGTAACTACCCCACGATCTTTCGATGTGGGATGGTATCTAGTGCTAGCTTAAGATAACTGATTGTGTAGAGTTAAAAAAATAAAAATAAAATTAAAATGAGTATCCCTTCACTGTAAAAGAAGGTGAACGTGAATAAATCGTGGAGTCTGGGAGGGCTCAGAATAATTTTGTTGTTCACATTCATACAGAACAATCGATGACAAAAAGGAGAAAGTGCAAACGGAAGAAAGATTCCAAAAAGTTCAATTCCAGGGAAGCAGCCAAACCAGTGGGCAAGAAAATGAAGTATATATCTTCAATCTGCAACCACATGCTCCATAGAGCATGTATTTCAGGTACTGAGCTCCAAAATTGGATCACTGTTTTTAACGATTCACTCTAAATTTATTTTTCCACTGTTTGGTACTGGATTTGGACGCCTGAATAGATTGAAATGACATATCCACAACTAGACAAATTTCCAGCTCCGCCTTGTTATTTCAATCTTCCGCAACAGTATGATATGTCCCAATTATTGGCAACCAGTTTCAATCATGAAATTTGCCTCACCAATCACGAAGACGTGGCTTCAACTATGCAAAAGTTCAATTAACAGAGAATTTACAGAAGATAAATTGGGCATAGTTTTATCCGTTCTCCAAAACGTAAGATGGTATTGGTGTCTATTCATAGTTATAACTCGACGTTTTGGTGTCTCCAAAACGTAAGAAGAAATTATTTTAATTCCTGGAGTATGGTTCAAATTGAGGAAAACATACTCCAAGAATTAAAATAATTTCTTCTTTTTTTATTTTTCTTTCAATTTATCTAATTTTTAATATTCATTTTTAAGATTTAAAATAATTATTGATTCAAAACTATTTATGGAAGCAAAGATATGGTTTTTATAAAATAATAAGTAAAAACTTTTTTCTATTTTTTTGGATTGCTTCAGGGTTAATAAAATAAAAATATATTCTTTTTTTAATGCAACATGGCCTCAATAACGGCATTTTCGGCATTAAGGGGGTTTTTGTTAAATGTTTGATCATTCAAAGGGTGAGACCGTTATTTGGATAAATTACAGGGATTGATTGATAATATGGTCAAACTTCAGGGGAGGTAAATGTAATTAACCCTAAATTTTTTTTTACAGTGACAGTTTAAAAAAATTTATTCTTCATTGTTTAAAAATTTTACAATAATGTAATTAACAATTTATATCAACCGGTCTAAAAGCAGGTTCTACTCTCATCATATCAATTTCTCAACCCTTCCCTGCTTTTTCTTTCTCACCCTTCTCCTTTTAATAGCTTATAAAGGGAATAAAAAGATATTTGATGTTGCACCAGTAAAAAACCAAGTCAACTAATATGTATTCTCTGCATTTTATAAGTTACTAAAGATAATCAGTATAATCATTTGTTTTCTGTTAACGTTAGTAGTCAAGTCTTCTGACTTGTCTAGAGAAAATTACATGATGCTGACAGTTTCAGTAGGAAAAAGGAAAATTGAAAGATTGGATCAAGATAAAATCAAGAATATGCTCTCTATCAACTATTTTGTTCGAGAGCTTGGAATTCAACCTTTCTATAGTGTAAGACGAGACTTCGTGCTACCATTTTCTTCTAAGCAAAAGAACCAAGCTATCGATCGGGCTTGCAACAGGGCAGATCAGAATTCGACTATTGCATTAACCCTTCTTGATTTCTACGTGTCCAAACAACAACTCCGGTTCCATCAAAGCAACGACCCTCAAATGGCCTAGCCACCCTTGCAGCACTGTAAAGGAACATAGAACATAAATAGTAATACTAGTACTAAGAAGAAGAAGAACAAAACGAAAAGCGAAGTTGGAGGATATGCAGTACACAAAATCAAATATTTGAGCATGTGCGGTTCCTTGCATGTGGGTATGTAAACTGTAAAGTGAAGTCCTTGAGTAGCTTTGCAAGTAGAAATTCTACACGAAAGCAACGTAACTGTGCAGAGAAAAATCCTGGACTCACAAGTGTCAAGTTTACATAGCTCTAGCTAGCTAAATGAGTTACTAAAAGTGTACAGAGTTTTTGGAGGGCAACAATTTGTCCTTGGGACGTTTTGGCATTTAAGGTTCACGAGGGCACTCGTCCTTCTTCTTCTATTTATAAATTCCAGATCCAGAAGGCTATCATCATCGGGTGACTGTGCATCTATAAACTTACCCCTCTAGGATTTCTGTGAGTGAGAAAAAAAAGTTTCTTCAAGAATTTTTGACAGAAATGTTGGTCGAGTTTCCTGTTGTTCAGGACCCTTTTAAATTTGGAAATGTAAACAGTACATCTGGTCCACTGACGGGTATTGCTACTGTTTGAATCCAAACTTGGTCATGAAAACTGGAAAGATCGATGTTTGAAAAACTCACAATGAGCTATTAGCTGGACAGGAAAGAAGAAGAAGAAGAAGAAGAAAGAAACATGATGAAAACATGAAAAGGAAAACTTGATTGAGTAATGCATTCCGAGAAATTTGTCTACCTGGGTAATCCAGAATTCTGAATCATACTTAAGCATGGTTCAAAGACTCAGCCGCGTCGTCATCGTCTCGGGCCCGAGACGATGTCGGGACAATACGATTTTGAGATACTTGATCCTCTAAGATGCCACCATGAAGGGCTGAAACGGTCAAATCACACAGAATCATTCCGAGTTATCCCGAATCAACTCAAATTTTTATTATTTTTACTAATTTTTAATTATTTTTGTTTATAATATTTTTTTAATAATTTTTAAAATATTAAATATTTCAAAAATTCACATCTCGCTGAAATCATGACGGATATGCCGAAATCGATGTGAAACGATTCGGGCCACGACCACGACTTGGAACCATGTACTCAAGATGGGTGGAGCCTCGAACCATGTACTCAAGGCGGTGTACCGCATCGGTTGGGCTCGTAGCCCGCTTTTGAAACATCCCTGCGCCTTTCTTTCGGTCCAAAGGGCCTTGGGCCTTGACATCACCACTGCTTCGATTAACAATGAACACTACTGTATATGACTCCATTAAGCTTGATCTGATGCAACTCCATTCAACAGAGTTGTCTGCAGGTAACTCCACAGTTGCATCCTGCATTGATACACCGAGAAAATCATATCAGAATAGCCAAAATCTGGCACTGCTCTTGGCTAGTACTTACTACTATATCAAGAAATCATTAGTAACAAAATGGGCATCATTTTACTCCCTTGATAATAATTTACCGTCAAAACATGACCAAGCTTGATTTTGTCCTCATCCCTCAATTGCCCTGCCTCATTATAAGAAGCTGCAGACTGAGCTGTAGCCGCAACTCCACCAGGGATTATGACATTTGATCCAGTTGCTCTAACCTCTGCAGCTTGTATTGCTGCAGCATCACTTTGCTCCACCGGCTTGTTACCTGCTGTTTGAGCTGTAGCTTCTAAGGCTTCTCCGATGGTTATGGCTCCAGTCACGGCACCTCCACCTCCAGCTCCTGCCCTCGCCTGCTGCCCATATCCACCCCTTTCCCGCCCAAACCCTCCTGCTCCTGCTGCTTGGTTCACCTCTAGAGGAGGCTGAACAACTTGTCCTAGAACCTATATATAAATTGCTAGTGTTTTAATAGTTATGATGCTTGTAATATACAAGCATAGGAAATTGTATAGAATCAGGATTTCTCTGCCATATACGATCCATCAGACCAATTTCCAGTGGCACCACGAAATTCCTATGTAGACTTTATCAAAATGATCCAACTGCTTTATCTTCCTAGAAGATGCATGTCGTTATACTTTAGATCCTAGGAAAACTATCAAAACACACCTCCGTTGGCATTCAACAATTATGTTGTTTAGCTGTGTATCACTAGAAGTACATGACAAATGTGACAAGTACTTAAACGAAAGACCTGTCCAGCAACGGCTTCAGTGATCATGCGCTGTCCAGGACGATCAGTTTCTGTGACGGTGACGCACTGACGCCACCGTGGCCCGCAACATCAGTTACATCTGTGTGACTAGCAAGGCCGGCTCTCTCGTTGATGGTGACAGCAGATTGCATAGCAGCAGCTGGACCACCCCTTTGGGTCTGGCCCAAAACTCTGGTTTCAGCAGCTTGCATCATTGCGGCATCCCCCGGGGCAATAGGCTTGCCAGCAAGCTCAGCGGTGACTGAAAAAACATCTCCATATTTGATTGGCTCCTGACCTTCCTGAGGCCTTCTTGGTTGTTCTTGGCTCATCTTTGCTGTAGTATTACGCAATTGTTCTTGTTTCTTGGTTTAGATGGGAAATTGATTTTAAGAAGTTCGTGCTTTGAGCCTTCGGCCGTAAAATGAGATGCTATATACCATGCAAAATTTGCAAGTTAATCACCATTCGGTCGAGAGGGAAAAATGGAAACCATTAATCGCCTTTCTGTTTCATTGATCAGTGGCAATTGGTGAGCAGATGAAGTAGCGATGCAGACGCAAGTGGCGCGTTAAGAGATTAATTTGTCTTCACCATGAGGAGCAATGCCTCGGGCGGCACCCCATTGGTGAAACTACACATACGAGATTTAGTCTATTGATCTATTAACAGTTGGCAAAACAAACTCATTTCTCGTAAGAGTCTAGTAAACTAACCATATATGATGAGGTAACAAAGTTACGAATTTGCTGGTACATCGCAGAGAAGGGAAAATAAGGCAAACGGAATGCATAAATAGCACCTTCTTAGACGATGAAAACTTGCAAAATGGTCTCCAATTTAGGTTACATAATAGACTGTTTGGAGCAATTTATAGCGGAAAAGATTTTCGGACCATCAATCTCTGTATGAAGTAGGCACATAATATTCCTGAAAAACCAATGTAATAGCATTCTAAATAAAATATCAGCGTTCTGCCTGTATCGGCCACAACTGGATGGTTATTCCATTACATATAATTCTCACAGGGCATTTGTGGATACATATTTCACCAAAAAAGTAGTGCATCATCAACTGATGAAAACACAGAAGCCAAAGCACTTACTACAACTGTTTTCCCTTTTGGATGACATCGTCCTATCGAATTCATACATATATCCTCATGTTGCAATATCTATCTATCTAGCAAGGCCAGAAAGATAAGATAAGACCTAGGACTAACAATCTAAGTTTCAACTTCAAACCATGAGTATTCCAAGTTTTGTACATGCTGCATTATTATGTACCCATGCCTCAAAGGGAAGCATTTGGTCCATCATTCTTCGCTTCGCCCAGCAACCTCTAACCCATTACCTGCAAAAGATTACATGTTTGAACCAAAATACCGTAGTTATTCCTGAGCTTGGGATTGCAGATATTAACTAGAAGCAAAGTTCATAAAGGATCATTTGAACTGGTAGTGACATGCCAAAATGGTGATGATCTACATCTGCAGAAAATGCCGGATTGTGATATGAATTGTCCACTTCAAAGTTCCATTGTTATTTCTTTCTCTTCTATATTCCTTTCCCGGGAAATGTCCAGTTAATTGCTGATTTAACTAAACTGCCAACAGAAAACTTACCATCTGGATCAAAGAAGAATGCTTGTTTGGTCTTCCCATCTGGTTGAGTCCTGTGATGAATCTGTATCCCCTTCTCCTGCAAGGGACAACATATTTATCTTCACCATATAGAGATCAGGAAAGAACAAAAGAAAATTCCTTTCTTATTTAGGGGCGGGGTTGGTGTTGTTTGGTATCAGCAGAGGGTAACTGTTCCACGTTAAAAAAGTTTATAGTGAACTACACAATGTTTTTCTTTTGGAAACTGTTTCAAATAATCTAAATAATGCAGCAGATGCAAATTCTTTATCTGTAAAGTGGAAGTTTCTGATTGCTCAACCCTTCTCGCAAACTGGGAACTTAAACTACAATGATTTCTAAGCTGACATATTCTTTGAAACATACCATATGAACCTCTGCCACAACAATTAGACAAGTTGGAATATTCAATATCCAGACTACTCAGTGCTAAGATTTCGAAAATGTGAATAATGCTTAAATGCATTACTTAATTACTGGAAGTCATACAAACACTTTCTCAAACAACAATTGACTTTTCTGAGATATCAAGACCAATCTTGATCTCATGCACACCATATACATTCAACTACTGCATCAGATGCAAAATTCCAAAATCAGAATAATGAGCTCAGTTATATAACCCCAGGCATCACATCAACTAGTGGAGGAGCACAGAAGAGTGTAAAAACTGAGAATGCTACTGTTGCCACTAAAATAAAAAAAAAAGAAACTTGGCTATCTAAATCCATGTTAGATTGTATGTTTCAGATAAAGATTTGAAGAACCGACCTTCGCTCTTCAATTATCTTGAAAAGGCACACTATCAGGCTAGTCAGCTAACTTAATAGTCATTATGGGTCATGTCCTTGTTTCTCAATAGAGAAGAATGAACAGGCATACCACAGATGCTTTTTCTTTTCAAATTTTCAATAGCAATATCCAATTTGCATTCTACCTTACAGCCCAACTTATCTTCTACTAAATGGTACCTAAAGTATGTGAGATTTAAAGCTGCCAGTCCTCAAGAAATCAGTTTATTCAGCAATTCACAACTACTTATTCGTACAAGAGATAATTTGTGCAACAATTAGACGTTGAAATTTCACCAACCAACATGAGAATCAAATCTGCAATAGTTTCTGTACAATAAGACAGCAAGGTTTTGGCATTATTAATGCCGTCAAATTGAATTCTGAAATCTCATGTACGAACAACAAACGAAAGTTGATGCAAGAAGAGTTAAAAATCCAATGGACTCAGAGGATGAAAAATTCGGCATTTCATTCTTCTTCAGTGTAAGTAAATTCTGAATGCTACTGCTATTGTTTTTCTTATCAAGCGGCTATCTTGAGTTCCATCTTTTAGGCCCATACGTTTTCAGGTTCTAATTTCTTGTCTATTGCAGGGCCTCTGGAAGGCAGTGATCACAGGATTCCCTCCGACGTATCCAACCAAAAAAGACTTCTTCTTTCATTGCTGTCTGCTTAATACGGTCTTAATACTAGAGTCAATTTTGGAACATCAACTTCTCTGCTTAATAAGAATCAGAAGTCAGATATTGACTTCTGTACAAGAAAACAGAGACTTCTGTACTCTTGTATTCTTTTAACCTTAAGAGCAACAAAGAAGATCTCTGATCCAAACATCTACTTGAGTAGTTTGGAACCACAATAAACAAAGCTACAATTTTATTTTTTTTTTAAGTTTCAATTTAAAACACAGCATTCATTTCATCAAAATAACCCGTCCATTCAAACCCACAAAATATCAGACTTAAAAAATAATTAAAATAATTTAAAAAAAATAAACGCAGTACACAGCAAATATATACTCCAACCTTGACGGCCTGAACAAAGGAGTCGAAATTGGAGACAGAGAAGCAGATATGATGACCCCTGGGGAGATGCTTGGGGTCAGCCACTGCAGAGGTGGAACTCCATGGACCTTCAGGGAGCTTTGTGGTAGGATCCCTCTCAATTAAATGAAGGTAAAAGGATGGTTCCAACTTCAACCATATTACATCGAACTCAAACTTTGGACTTTCTACCCGCTGAAAACCAAATACCTGCAACCAACCCACAGGCTTAATTCCCCATTTTCATCCAATCTTTACAT